AAAGTTTTCACATGTCTCTAAATCATGATTGTTTGAAAAATTTGCATCTGACAATGAAAAAGTTAACTCAAAACATGCATCTCTTAAATCATTTTCAAAATCATCATCATGGATCTCTATAGTATTAAAATCAGCTACAGTGTTTGCTGCTATAGCAATTGCATATGAATCTGATATTTCATTACTTTGGATCGAATCATTAAAATAGTCAAAAAAATTATTATTTTCATCATCTGACTGGTTTAATCACTCATTAGAAATATTTAAAAAACCAAAAACTTCTTCATTCTGATTAGCTATTGAAAGAACTTTTGCCAAATTCAATTTTAACCTTTCTTTACTCGAACTCAACTACCTGAAGCATACTATTTCCTCTCACCCATCCTTCTCTCCCCATCCTTCTTTACTCTACCTATACTCTCTCCAGTCTACTCTCAAAGGTTTTATCCCCATTCCACTTATCCAATCTGTACAAACCTTCGATATATCACACTCTCTCACTTCACAGCTATTTATTCAAACCTTTCTTAAAATTTCTAACCAACTCTATGACCAAATATGAAAAACATATTGTATTAATTTTTCTACATGGAAAAGAATGCATCAAATCCCCTCCAATCTCTCTTATAATCAACTTTCCTATTTACGATATCTACATACTCATAATAGAACTAGAAACACCTTTACTTAAAATTGTCCTTGTAATACTCCAAACTAACTTCACTCTGATTCAAATACCTGCCCTCCTTCTGGGCTTGCTAATCGTAAATTTGACATCTGGTCTACTATGTGGACCAAATACAACACCCCTATTAATCATATTTTAACTATTCAAATCTAGATGAGCTTTGACCACCCTAGTAGGTTTAGGTCGCAGATAATTAGTTTGACATCTTGTCTAAGCTTTTAGTCTGAGCTTTTATTCTTGCATGTAATTTATATTTATTTGTTATTATACAAATTAAGTTCTTCATAAATTTTATATAATTACTTATATAAATTACTTAATAAAGATATGATCAAGGCCTTATCTTAAAAAAAAAAAAAAAAAAAAAAAAAAAAATTTTACTTGAATTAATTCAAATGACTATATAATAATTGGCATGAGATTTTATAATGATTTATTATTTTTTCTTCCAAAACCATTATTTTGTTATAGAAAAAGCTAACTACAATTTATTCTGTTTACTGAACAAAATACTATTTTATAGCAATTTATCATACTTCGCTAAACAAAATATTATAATAATTTTATTAAATTAATATGCTTAAAAATTACAATTGAAGTAAATCACAGTAAACCATATACTTTCTGTGATTTGCTTCGATCACAGCAAATCACAAAATTTACATATCCCTGTGTTATATATAAATTTGAAAAAGTTGACTATGGGTGTTCTCAAGCATCTCAATCAATTAATTAAATAATGATTATGATAACGCTCAAGCATCACAATCAATGATGACATTTATAGAATTAAATGCTTGAGCATACTCTTTCTATTTTCATAATCTTTGCTATACCTCATAAAAAGCCTAATAGAAAAAATTTTTATTCATCCTAGCTGCTGAAACTTCAACTTCAGTTTTATTGGCTTTACTTTTTAATGATTTTACCAATTAAAATTTTGTTGCAACAGTAACAAAATCAACTTATGAAGTTGTTTAGCGAAAATTTCTTTGCAGAAACAAGAAATAAATTTTTTAAAAAAATTTTTTATAAGCAATCTATAATAATTCCGCAGTTGCTATTTCACACTGAAAGTAGTATAGGTAATACAAAAATATATTTGAAAAAAGTTATAACATTCATTATCCATTAAATATAGAAAAATATCTACCCAAAATCCTTCAGTTTTTGGATCATCTTTGCTGAAAAAATTTTTAAATTTAGGTAAACGAAAAATGAAAAAGTAGTATTTATTATAGTTTGATTAAAGTTAAAAGATGTGTTGCATTTATTACGTTCATATCAATATATCGATTATTTGCTTTAAAAGTTTTGAGCATAAAATTAAAGTAGCTATTTTTTTTTTTAAATCGGTTATAAATTTGTATGTAAAAAATATAAAATTAATGCTTGAGTGACCTTTATCAATGGTAAATTTTTAAAGAAAAAAGATGGTTAGTAGCTCATTAATCTGTTCATCGAAATGGCAGCTCACTTGGTTAATTTATTCAATACTAACTATTAAAAATTTGCTTCTGATTTATTAAGTGAGGTGCTCAAGAACTATGTTCGAATCTCTATTAAATTTGTAGTTCAAAATAGAATAGATTATAAATTTCTGTCATGTGAAAAGTATTTATGTAATTTTGTAGCACACTAAGACTTTTTGAAGAAACATACATATATATATAGTGTGAGTCCCAAAATATAACACGAGAACCCAGTAATCGGTCATATGAAAAGTGCACAAAGTACAATTAATTACATTTAGGATAGAAAATTACATTTAGGATACAAAGGGATAGATAGGAGATAAGAGGAGGATATCAGTAAAAATTAAATATTCTTAACAAAATTAAAGAAATCGTTGTAAATAGCATTAAGTAGTTTTATTAAATATTCAGTGTAAAGTCGCATTTGTAAGCGACAGAATTTCATCTTATAAATAAAGGCCAAAATGGCTCTTGAGAGTGACTTGCTTCCTTTGCTTTATTAATTAATAAGTACCAGTTCTATAAAATTGCCCATAATAACACACTAACACCATTACTTTTATAATTTGTATAAATCTCATAAAAATTGTTGTTCGTTCAAGTTCTTGATCACGTAACTTAACCGACCTGACTTTGTTGAACCCAAGTAACTGAAGTCTTAAACGTCCACTAGCCAAATCTAACATGCCTCTTTCGTAAGGTTACTTACCATTGGTTACATGAGAACTTGAATTGTGAAGCGATCGAGTCGCAGTTATCCTAACCATAACATTTTGGTGGTGACTATAAGATCCTACAATATCCTGTCAACAAATCTTGAAGAGATCATTTCAAGCAGCTGGGCTGCAAAATTAGAAGACCATAACCATAAGAGAAAGGAAAAAAATTCTAGCCTGATTTGACATACTGTAATCCTGGCCATGGTAGAAAAGAAGACTTAGCATAGTTCCAGTTAGTACCAACGAAGTGTGGAAAGCCAAGGTTGGAGAAAAAGAGAGAACTTTCCCAAAAAGAAGAGTGCCAACCCTGATTCGACATAGTGTAATTCCGGGTTGAGGTATCTGGCATAAGTAGTACAATCGACAATCTTGTATTATTGCTCACAGGACTAACGCAAAGTGAATCGTTACCTTGTCTGGTTGATTCTTGACGTACTGAGGACTACCAGTGTTGTTTCCAACTCTCCCAACGTACCGTGGACAGTTGAGGTGATTGAATTCCAGTTTGAGGTCCAAGAGGAAGGCCCCAATCATAGTTTTGATTATAGGGATAGTGAGTACAAGAGTTAGTGTATTAGTAAGCCGTATCGAAGGATTGAAGACAAGTATAAAAAAAAAAAAAATGTACAATATTTACCCCTTGCCGATATGTAACCCACCTTGAAGAAAAATTGAATCCCAAATGACAAAAATGACTAAACAAAAGCCTCGACAAAAGACTTGGTGTTCCTATTGTAGAAAAGGAAAGCATGATGTTAGTAGCTGCCCAAAGATAAGAATGATGCAGCTAGAAAGTTTAGAGTTGTTAAATACACTTACCGAAGAACAAGCCGCAGAATTCTAGGAAATGGTTGATGAAACTATAAGAGACTGTAGTCTTTATGACCCACAAGCCTGAATATTTTTTTAAAATATTAACAGATGTTAGCCGAGATAACAACCCTGATGACAATGACGAGGGAGAAGATAATATTATATACCTGCCCTCGTATATCCAATTGAAGCCGCCTCCAGTACCTTTGGTAGCCCCATCTTGAAAGTCCTCCCGAAGTTTTGACAACCAAGACCTACTGTAACCGAAGTACTCGACATATATTACAGTCTTGATGAAACCGTGAAAAAACTCATTGACGACATTACATTTGGTTCCGAAGAAGAACGAGAGACTGAATTGGAAGTTCTTCTCCAAGAGCTCGTCGTCGAATGTGATTCTCTCATACAAAAGTAGTTCCTGAAAAAAGCTGTCCAAGAACCCCCACAAGAAAGTGGTGCTGAAAAGAACAGATTCATTTATTATCACAAATCGGCAGAAATAGAAAGCGCCAAAAAAATGTATCCTGTTGGACCTTGCTGTGAAGAAGTTGAAGCCGGGAAAGTTAATGAATAAAAGGGAACCGAAGCTGAAAAAGAAGAAAAAAACATATCTGTGAGAATCGAAAACATCGTAGATGAAACTGAAGATAAAGACGATGACGATGACGAAGCTGACGAAAATAATAAAGATAACGATTACGACGATAAGACGATTGCCGATAAAGAGGACGATGAAATGAAGGAAGATGTGGAAGAACTTACCGAAGGAAGGAAAGACCTAGATGGCGCCTGCGAATTATGGATAAAGAAAGTTAAAGAGTTTAGAAAAGTAGCCAGATGAAAAAAAGAAGCAGAAGAACCTAACGAAGTAGAACTTGCTGAAGCCGAAGATATGATGGGTGTTGCTGGTCGTTACCAAAACGAAGGTGAAGTAGAAAAGGATGGAAATAAGACATTTACCTGTTATCAAAATTCTGCGAAGCCTGGTGATGCTGATGGAATGATTCAGGTTAGAGATCACTACAAAAATGGAATCAGAACCAAAAAGATCGAAGCGTGTGGATAGTATCGGAAATATGCTGAAGACGGCGATTCGAAAGAACAATTTGACCCCGGTGGGCCCTGATATCGAAACAGCAAAAGTCTGAAAAAAGCCTACGAAAGTCCAAAAGAATTAGTAAATGGATTTTTTCAGAGAAAACAAGGGTGAATTAAATAAAAATGAAAGGGTAGAAAAAGAGATAAAAAGAGTGCTAAAATAAGGAAGAAAGAGTTAGAAATTAAAAGATCTATAAAAATTTCCCTTATATAAGAAAATGCCAGAAGTCCAATCACGTTGACAGAGATCATTTATGACGTTACCAACCCATTGCCTCTGTTAATCTAGCACCCCGCCATTTTTGATGGGATTTACTTTTTGGAAAAAGATCATGTGGGACGCATGACTTAAGAAGGGGGGAAATGTGAGTCACAATATGTAATACGAGGACCCAGTAATTGGTCACGTGAAAAGTGCACGAAGTGCAATTAATTACATTTAGGATAGAAAATTACATTTAGGAAGCAAAGGGGTAGATAGGAGATAAGGGGAGGATATTAGTAAAAATTAAACATTCTTAACAAAATTAAAGAAATCGTTGTAAATAGCATTAAGTAGGTTTATTAAATATTCAGTGTAAAGTTGCATTTGTAAGCGACGGAATTTCATCTTATAAATAAAGGCCAAAATGGCCCTTGAGAGTGACATGCTCCCTTTGCTTTATTAATTAACAAGTCCCAGTTCTATAAAATTGCCCATAATAACACACTAACACCATTACCTTTATAAATTGTATAAACCTCATAAAAATCATTGTTCGTTCAAGTTCTTGATCATGTAACTTAACCGACCTGACTTCGTTGAACCCAAGTAACCGAAGCCTTAAACGTTCACCAGCCAAATCTAACACGCCTCTTTCGTAAGGTTACTTACCGTCGGTTACACGAGAACTTGGATTGTGGAGCGACCGAGTCGCAGTTATCCCGACTATAACAATAGGTTATGTAATTAAATCGGGCATATAAATTGTAAATCGAAATGTACAGGGCTTAAAATGGGCAAGAATAGGATGTTTAGAGTGGACAAAATACCTGAAAATTTACTATTAACTCAACTCGTACCTCTATCAGTATTATCCGGGGTCCTATTAAGACCAATGACTAATGAAGAAATAAGTGGTATTATGCTTGATTCATATTTAACTACGGATACGGTACGTAAAAATAGTTATTATGGTGAGATATAAAAAAAAAATATATATATATATTAAAATTAAATAATATAAAAATGTTAAATACTTAAACTAATATAACTATCTTTCATAAAATACTTAATTTATTATAATTATTAACTTATTATATAGGTCGCAAATACTTTATGTTATGCATTATATTATATTTCACATCATCCAAGTGTTAAAAAAAAATTGGTTGAAGAGATAAAAACAGTTTTTAAAGATGATCTGACGAGACCGATAACTCTAGATGACCTTAATAAGTTAAGATATTGTGAAGCAGTTATTAAAGAATCGGCAAGAATAAGACCTACGTTCAGCATGATTTCAAGAATAACTAGTCAACCTGAAGAAGTGGAGGGATTTAAATGACTATTAAATACTTTTTTTAATATGTTTGTTCGTGGAATTAATAATAATCCTCTTTATTGGAAAGATCCTGATGAATTTATTCCAGAAAGATTTTATGAATCTCAAGGAATTAGAAGTCAACATAGATTAAGTTTTCAATGTTTGGTGGAGGTTTAAGAGCATGTCCAGGTAAAAATCTTGCAATGATTGAAATGAAATTATTTTTGGCTTTACTTTACAGAAAAGTTGATATTGAACTCGTAGATATGAAAGCATCTCTTAAACTTAGAACTTCTGCGTTCACTGTTTGTGAAAATTTAGATATCAAAATCATTCATACACAGCCTATAAATTAGAAATGCTTTTATTTTATCATTTTCATTTATCGTTTTTTATAGTTTATTGTTTTTTTTTTTATTTACACGACGAATATTTGCTTTCAATAAAGCCACTCAATCATTCAATTGTGATTAATATATCAAGCATTTATTTCTCTTTTGCCCATATATTAGCGCCAACTTTCTAGTCTAATTCGGGTTAAATATAATGTAATGTGAAGAATGCCATAAATATGAAGATTGACTAAAGTGTGCTAGTTTTAAAATTTGTTTATTTGATTATAAGGCTACGCAAAGTTGATTTTATGTTTTCATTATTACATGGATTTCAAAATGCACGGTCGGTTGGTCGGATTTTTTTAATCTACAGTAAAATTAATAGACTGAGGCCACATAACATTGAATCAGAAAATTGGGTCGGCAGTCTAATTTTTTTTTTTTATCTGTTCTATCGGATAATTTCGAAAAAATAAGGGCTCTATCAGGTGATATCGGATTAATTTATGGGAAAAGATTAAATGGTAAAAATAAAATAATTGGCACAATTGGGCTAAAAAAAAAAAAAATTTTTTTGAAAATTCGAAAAAATGAGTCGGTGGGTAATGCAAAACAAAAATCAACTTTGCGTGGTCTAACATTAGGGTTAGATTTAGAATCAATTGCCTCCCCGACATTTTTATTCATGCAAAAAAGTAGGTATAGACTACTGTTTCCTGTAATTTTCATTTCATTTTCACTTTTTTTTCTGTGAAATGTTATGTTCTCAAAAAGTACTTTAATAATTACCCACCCGAGTTGTTGAATGAATGGCATATATACTAATCTACATTATTAATTTATCCCATTCTAACCTTTTTTCGCTGGTGTGCTGTAGATTTTTTGTTTAAGGGGGTCTCGTAAAGCGGGCAGATTACGTTATGCCAATCAAATTGTTAAAATTTGATGATCCCGGATCAGCCCGACGAAGCAAAATAAGCGAAAAAAAGAGAAATATGCAAAAATAGAAGAAACTTTAGTCTAAATCCACCTTGGAGCATTAACTAACAAAAAATAACGGGGAGGTAATTTTACCTATAGAAACTCCTCTAACTTTAACCCAAAGTGGGCCCTAACTCTAATGTTAATGAAAAATACTATGCTACGTGATCTGCCCGCTTTCGGACCCCGTTTAAGTTTAAAGTTAAATGCAGATCTCCCTTCTTATTGGCTTCACCTTTATCCGTGATCTGCTACATTTTTGTATACTAAACACAAATTTTATATAACAGTATTATCTTATACGTAGTGATATGGTTCTATATTCTATATAGTTCTACATGCACTATTAGTATACTAGTAGCTGCCGCGCGAAATCAGGAACGGGAGACCTTAGCAAAGGGCAGAATCAAGACATTTGGTATTATAAATTTGTATATGATTATGTGTAAATATGTCTCTGCTCTAGAATAGATATAACGGGTTGCATAATGGTTTTAACTGATCTGAATTAGCTAATATTTAAAAAATTAGTTTAGCAAACTAAATTAAAATTAATGCATTAGTATATAAAACATGCGCATTAATTCTGAATATAAATTTTTTAGCATTTATATATTTTTCTATTGTTGGATTGTTTGGTTATTAAAGTATTCAAATTGTTCAAACATATCAGTAAATTTGTGTAATTTGATTAGTAGAAAAATCTCTAAGCTATTACTCTGGTAAATTTGCAAATCATTTGGTCAGCTTTGAAATCAAATAATTTTAAAATTGGCCAAATGATTCGCAAATTTAACTGAGAAGAGTTTTTCTATTCATCAAATTCCACAAATCTACCAATATGAATTTTTTATATAATGTATGTATGTATACATTTAAAAGAATATAAAAGCAATTTTTTGAACATTAAAAGAAGATTAGGTTGTTGATTCTATAAATAATGATAATATAATTAATTGTAAATAGTAAACTTTATAGTACAGTGCAAAAATATTTGCACCTCAAACAAGGATTAATAAAATTTTTTATATATAAATTTTATAATTTTTTTTAATAAATATAATTGTTAGATTACCAGAAGAAAAATAACATCTTTAGTTTAATTATATTCTATATAAGATAAAAATTTTATTCATAGTAAATTTTTTCACTATATAATTTACTGTGTAAATTTACTAGTAAATTTTACATATTTTATATAGTAAAAAAAAAATCAAGTTGTTTAACTTTTAAGTTTAATTTTTTAACGTTAATTATTTAATTTTGCTCAAATTTTAACTATATATTTATTATAAATACATTAATATGCTTGCTTAATAAAATTATAAAATTGCATATTTGTTTTAAAAATTCTTGAAATATATATTTTTTTAAAAAAAAAAATTTTATATTCGAAAGAAAGTTATTTATTGTTAAATATTATAATAAATCTAGCAATAGCGCGTTAAATAAAATTTCCCAGACGCTAATTTTGTTACAATATAGTTAGTTATTAATGCCAGCCAATTCTGATGCATTACAACCAAAACTTGACCAATTTTCTGAAATTTGGTTGTGCGATTAATCTATCTGTAAAATCGCATAATCATACCATGTTGGAAAAATATAATGCGGGACCATAATTTTATATTGAAATAAAAAAAAACGGTTAAATGTATAAACCCGAAATGTACAGAAATCATTTGAGCTCTACCATAAGAAAATGAAACTTAGGACCTTCAAGCTAATCGTTTATGACTATTGCTAACTTGCCCTCCTGGTTACGTCACCAGGGGTGCTATATCTCAAAAACGAACTAAGTAAACTGGATCAGGTACTCTAAGTAAAAATGCTCAGGATCCCAAAAACCTCAAAAAACTAAAATTGGGACCTTATATCTAATATATATTATATTATATAAAAAAAAAATAATTCCCAAAACTGCACCCTAACCCTAAATTTTAATAGGAGTGGTTACATCACCCCTGGTTAAATAGTTAAAAACATCATTTACCAAAAATAAATAATAAAATTGAAGGCTCGAAGTAAGATTTACTTCTCTCATTTTAATAATTCATCAATCGGATTAACAATTTATTATTTATTAATTTTTTTATTTAATGATAAAACATACTTAAATTATAATTAAAAATTTCCTAGATTGCTTGTTTTTTGTGTAATGAAATCTCTGTTCTAAGCTGTGTTAATCTCTAAACCTAAATGATGTGGGATAATCAAAATTGGGATTACAGAAAATCAGTATAATAATATAGAAGACAAAAATAGTATGGTATATGGTGTAGAATACCAATTTAAAAAACTATATATACCATATTAATCCCCGATCACTATGCCAAGATCATGGGATTGTTATTATTTATGCCTCATAACATACTAACATACTAATTTGGTCACCCACACCATTACCATAATTCGGCACATTTGCCATTCTTTTTAAGAGTTTAAAATAAGTGAACGGAATTGACAAACCTTATAAAAAAAAAGAGATCAACATATGAATAGATTACTGAACCTAATATCGAATCTGTTAAAAGTGACAGACAGAACATTAAAGTAAAGGATCACTTATATTAATATTTCTGTATATCTTAAAGTTTTGAAAAATAATGAAAAATGAAATTTTCATTGCTATTCATTATTAGAAAAAAAAAAATAAAGAAATTATACTTATTTTACAGTTAGAACCGTAATTTTACCTGAACTATTTATGAGATCGAAAACCAAAATTATTATTTTCAGTTACAGGTTTTATTAATTAACTGTATATATGTATTGTATTATATTAATTACTAAATATATATAAGTACGTAACCAAAATTCCGGGTCGGATTGATAAATTTTGCTAATGATCCAGTAATCCAATAGTTAGGTATTATTATTGCTTATTGTTGGCCTAATGCTGATGCATTCCGATTCTAAACTTTAGTCGATCTGTTATATTTTGGTTGCGCAACTGTAAATCGTATGGTTCTTCCAAAGGCAGATTAAGATCACGTATGTAAGCATAACTAACAACGGTATTGATAGATAAATGATGAATGAACGCTATAGTATGTATAAAAGTATGACATAAGATTACTAATTGGAAAACAAAACAAAATGAATGAAAAAAGTAACACACTGAGATAAAAAAAAACCAAAAATGTATAGAAACCACTTGAGAACTACCAAAAGAAAATGAATTTCGAACTTTTGTGCTTATCATTTATTATTTATTAAATTAAGCTTGTGAAAAATCTGTAATTTCATTTCATAGATGTTACGGTCAGGATTTTTAAAGGGCAAATCCGTTTAATAATAAATTATAAAACTGAAAGCCCGAAGTATCATTTTTTTTCCTATCATTTATAATGGTTCATCAATCGGAAACTACAAATTTATTATTTATTTAATTTTTTTTAATTTTTTATTGATAATATGAATGGCATAAATTCATTGTACCATACTAAATTATAATTTAAAATTTTCCACGATACTAATTAGAAAATGAAACTTGCATTCTTTTAAATGTGCGTGTAAATCTAAAAAAAGAATTCTGCAAATTTTGTTATAGCTAGAGATGATCTGATCTGTTTGATCGTGACCGATCATAAAAAAGTTTTCTTGAGTACAATCGTTCATTCAGTGATCGAACTTATCGATCATTTCGAAGTGAATACTACTATGCTATAGGTTTTTGCACTGCTGTTATAGTCATTGGGCCTAATCGTCAAATATGAGCTCTTTGTATTGCTTACAGCAGCCTTAGAGTTTAATTACTAAAAGCAAGAGGTCCTTGCTTTGCTAACCAATAAACATGCGTCAATATACTGCTGCAGGTTACTGAGAGACAGGTGGATGATGAAAAAAAGATAATCTTCTCTACTAACCAAAGGCCTTAAATGTCCTTGCCTTGGCAATTAATAATCTCTCCTTTCTTACGTTGCTGATACACATGCAGAACTATAAGATAACCTTTTGATACTCTTAACGTTTTCTAATGATCATAGTAATTCATATTTCAAAGTCATATGTAATTACAGAAAGATACTTGCATTTAACCAAAAAAAAAAACACATAAAAAGCTAAGATGATTCGATAAATTACGATTTGTGCATAAAATAGCACATTACTATATGGTAATGGTCTTGCTAGAAAATAAAATTATGTATCTTATATCGATCTTTAATTTTAATCGATTGTAGTTCAATCGATCAAACTTTCGAACAATTTATAGATGACCGATCATATGATCGATTAAGAACGATCTGTGCTGAGCTATTTTGATCTCTAAACCTAAAAGATATGGGATAATGGGATTACAGAAGATCGTACGTACGTACGTACATATAATAATATGGATGACCAAAATAGTATGTATGCTAAAGGGTGTAAAATACTATACCGATTTTAAAAATCATGCCAAATAAATATACTATACCGATAATTTCTAAAATTAATATAGTAATATATGACATAGAATCAGAATGGTAAAGGGTACCTATTTTAAAAAATTACACCATACTATATATATATATATATAATAAAACGATAGTTTCTAAGCCTAATACAGTAATATATAACACTCGGATCAGTATGGTACAAATTTTTAATTTACACTTCATACTGTATAATATGATCGCCACGCCATACTGATCTGTGTAAATTACATAGGCTGCGGCGAAAATAGACCAACCTAAAAAAAAGATCAATGGACGAATAGATTTCAGAGCCTAAAATTGGCTAATCGAAATCTTTTAAAAGTTCCATAAAGAACGTTACGACCCTTATTAATTAAAGAATCATTTATGTTAATAGTGCTGTATCATCAGCAAGTTGTTTTTTTTTTATAAAATTTACATATATCTATAATATAGAATACTATTTAAGAATTATTTATTAGTGTAACGTTGTGAATAGTGCTCCGAACGGGTCTGGTCGGGCCGGGTTATGAGCCAACCCGATCCCGACCCGAACCCTACCTGAAATTTAAGGCTGATATGTTAAGTTTTTGAACTTGTGTTTAAAAAAATCAAATCAGCCTTTTTGCTCTTAAGATAACGATGATTACAGAAATTGGATCAATCAAAGCGAAGTGTGATATGTTTATAAGCTCAGCTAGCTACCACAGTAAGACCGTGAATGGGCACTCAGAAAATGTGTACCGAGTTTGTGATGCAGTCAAAATTCTTAAAATTCGGTAAGTTTAGGGTTAGGGCGTAAGGGCTATAATCTAAATAATACCCCGATCACTATTCAAGATCACGGGAGTATTAATTAATAATACCCTGACCGTATGTGA